TTTTTTTTTTTTTTTTTTTTTACGTTTTCAACGATACCGTCGAGCTTCCAAAACGAACGCTCGCGACTCGACGATCGAGAGATTGACCAGAGAGAGAACGACATGGACGATTTTAGGAAAAACCTCGTGTTACGCGATTCGTCGCGTTACTTGTCCTATCCTCGAGGAAAGGGCCAAAGAATTTTCGTTGAAAGAAAAGTCGGGAAACGACGACGACGACGCGAGAACGCGACGCGATCAACGAAATCGGGTAGAAATTCGCGTGGCGATGGTGATTGGATGACGAGCAAGATGGGAAAAAATGTCTACCGATCAAGAAACGGGATGCACGGTGGCAACGAATCGCTTAATAGAGTTTATTGTAATAAACTTCTTTCCCCTTGTGATAACGAGTTATGTGATATTTGACGTTAGACGTGTACGTGTAACACTTGTTGCAATAAGGGCACTGTATCCCTCGTATTCCGCACAAGTGACGAACATGGTAATTCAGATCTTTCCGCCTTTTAAACGTCTTGCCGCATCGATTGCAGTCCAAATCGTGGTCGTAGAGAAAAGCTCCGACGCTTTTCGCGCTACGAATCTTGCGCTTCCGATCACACGCGTGCTTCGCGTGGAAGATCATGTCCCATTTAGCGGGGAACGTCTTGCCGCACTGCGAACACATTGTCGCGTTCGTCTTCGAGTCGTTCCACTCTGAAAATTAAAACACAAACACGATATGTAGCGAAGCTCGAGCTTTCGTGTCATCTGCACGTTCGGAGATCCTCGATCTCCACGTCGATATACCTAATACGTACACGCGTACGCGTATACGCGCGAAACTAGAAAAACGGTGAAAAAATGGAAATGCGTCGAAATCTGAAAACGAAGACGCGACGTCAAGCGAAACGTCGTAGATTCGCCATTCGAACCTCTATAATAATCGTTCGATACTTCTCCATTTCGTTCTTCCTACAACAACGCTTGTCGTCGCTAAAGCGCAGAGACATACATCGACGCTTGCACACGCGCGCATAATCGTTCGATACTTCTCCATTTCGTTCTTCCTACAACAACGCTTGTCGTCGCTAAAGCGCAGAACATACATCGACGCTTGCACACGCGCGCACGCACGCACGCACGCACGCACGCGCGCGCGCACGCATGCATTCGCGTAATAAAGAGAGGACCAACGAAATCCATAACTTTCCTTTCCTTTTCCTTTTTCGTACATAAGAGGCCGTAAAAGCCGTTCGTTGGCGCACGACTCGGCATACGCGTATCGCCGGTCTAGAGTAAAGGGCGAATATAGCGATAATCGGGAAAAATTGGGAGATTTCGATGACGGGGGGGGGCAGAGAGGTTGGGGTGTTGAGGGACTAGTAACGGTCCGTCGAGTTCGTTTCGCGATCGAGTTTCGAATACTGTTTAAACTACGATACTTCACCCGGGCAGATCTCGACACCGTTCAAAACATTTTGTTCACACCGACTGGCAATTTAGGATGCCATCGTCTGATGTGCCTGTAAACGTTCGAGGATGAGTTGTCCTTCTTATGGCAATAAGGACACGCGTATCTAGGTATCTGGCCACACTTGTGTCTAATCAGGTCCCACATCCTTCGGAATCCTGCGTTGCACTTTGAACAGATGTAACTCGAGACAGCGGCCTGCGTCCTCACGTTTGGCCACTCCAATATCCGTATATCTGAAAAGAATCAGGACAATTAGTCCTGCGCCGATCGACTCGCTACCGTATACCGAAACTATACGCAATGTCGTCTCGGCGACAGGTCCTCTGCGAACAGATCTAGACGCGTGTATTTCAGACAAGCGCGACTAATCGCTACCACGATTAGAAGAAAGACAGTAAGGGATGGTTCAAACGAACAGAAAAAGGAAAGATCGATCGGTTGCGAACAAAATCGAATTCCTTTCTCCCTGCTTTGTCTCTATCGTCGCTGTCGGGGCGCGCGCGTGCGCGCGTTTTGCTCTATGTACCTCGTGCATGGACGGCTTTGCCTCGTGCTCCGTCTCTCTCGTCTCGTACGCGCACGCGAGCTTCTCCAACCCGCGATCCAACCCGCTATCGATTACGCGAGAAATGGGAAAAGGGACAACGATCGGAACACGAACGACGCTATCGCAGATGCGTACACGTGCCCCGATATCCCGGATTAAACCGTCCGGCGACTTTATTGAGGTAAACGATACATCGTATACCAATCTATACATCCTACGTAATTCCCTCTCCCCCTCTCTCTCTCTCTCTCTCTCTCCCACCCCACGCACACACTCTCCCTTTCTCTCTCTCTCTCTCTCTCTTCTTCTCCTTCCTCTTGCTCTTCCGCTTTCTCTTCCGCAAATCTTCGCACCGCAACCGTGGCAGGAATTTACGATTCGCGGAATTAACGGAATAGCTAGATCGCGACTTTTGCAAGGTTCCGCGAAAAGGTTACACGCGTTTTCGAACGAGGCGAAAATTCCGACGAAATCGTCCACTTTAATTGCGATGCACCATCACTGGCATTCCGTTGTGTCGCATCCTGATGTGCTTGTAAATGTTCGACGAACACTTGTCTCTCTTATTGCAATAAGGACACTTGAACCTTGGCTCCTTTCCGCAGTCGTACTTCATGTGAGTCTTCAAGGTTTTCTTGTACGTGTAGCCCGCGTTACATATAGGACAATGATAGGACATCTTGCCGGCGTGATAGAACGGGCCGTCTTCGTGCTTGATCGCGGTATTCCCTCTCTCTCTGTATTCCGCGTTCGCCCTGGAAGTGGCCAGAACGGTGGCATCGTAAGATAGCAGGAGCCGTCCTACGAACAAGAAAACAGAGCAAACGATTAGCAAACAGCCGGAGGAAAAATCGCCAAGCTGGTACCGAACGAAAGGGGTCGAGAGGAAAGAGGTGCAACAGAGAAACGAACAATCGATAGGAAAAGTCGAGAGAAACGAACCTAAGGATATCGTAACCCCTGCTTTTTATTCGACGCTGTTAGATCTCGAAAGCTGCGTGTATATGGCCGTTGAAACGGGTCGTAGCAGCAGCGGCATCATCATCATCACCATCGTCGTCATCGTTATCGTCGTCGTCATCGTCGTCGTTGTCGTCGTCGTCGTCATTGTCATCGAACAAAAGGAGAGATAAGCGAAAGACGGATGGGATAGAACGAGAGAACAGTGATCCTCACGGGACAAGGAAGACATCTATTTCGTAATCTCGTACACGCAACTGCTAGCGTTATTTTTTTTTTCTCCTTTCTCTTTTCTCTTTTTTCTTTTCGCTTCGAATAAGCGACAGTATCGAAGCATTCGCGTACAAAGACACCCGTTATATACCGAACCTCGTCGACTTCCTTCCTTTCTTCCTTCCTTCCTTCCTTCCTTCCTTAATTCCTTCCTTCCTTCCTTCCTCCCTTCCTTCCTTCCTTCTTTCCTTTGTTCCTTCCTGCCTTCCGTTCGTCCTGGAATCATCCTCGATTCAATAGAGCTTGTACGCTTGAATCCTGTTACCCTTGTGATACGTCCTGATATGCCTGTAGGTATTCGAAGATTTTCTATCCCTTTTACCGCAGTAAGGACACTGAAACCGCGGTTCCTTGCCACACTCGTATCTAAAATGCGTCAGCATGTTCGCCTTCTTACTGAACGAACTGCAGCACCGCGGACAAAAGTATCTCTGAACTTGCTCCTTCTGTTCGAACCACGATGTATCCCTTACGTACCCTGCAAAAGACAAGCAAATCACAGACCGAGTCAGTATGCTTGTCTACGATTCGATGGACGAGTTTCGGAGAACACGATCTCGACACCTTAGATGCCGTATAATACTCTCTTTTTCTCTCTCACTCTCACTTTCTCTCTCTCTCTCTCTCTCTCTCTCTCTCTCTCTCTCTCTATCTCTCTCTCTCCCCGTCGTTTTTCTCGATGTTTCTTCGTTTGTCGAGGAATACACGCACCTCGCGGGGTACATGTCGAACCCCACCCCCCGCCCCCATATGGACGCTATTGTCAAATTGCGACAAATAATCAACACACGGTTCCGATGATCGAACGGAATAAACGAGTTTTATTGGATGACGATGAAAAAGAGAAAAAGAAAATGAAAAGAAAAAAAGAAAAAAAAAGAAAAAAGAAAGAAAGAGAAAGAGCGTGGTTCGATTACAAAGTTTGTCGCGACGAAGAAGGATAGAATTCCTCGGTGAAAAGTCGCGTCGTTGTCCATCGTTCCGTTTCCTCCGACTCTCGCTTCCCTTGCTTTCCATTCGCGTCCTTGTTTCCAGAATAGGCCCAGAGGAACCTCTTCTCATCGTTGGTTAACGCAAAAGCAGCCGATGCGGCTTAAACAGAGGCAACTGTTTGTGGACCCTTCGCACGTGCTTGTAGACGTTCGAACTATACTTTGACCCGTAATCGCAGTACGTGCAACGAAAACGGGTCTCGTGGAGGTTGCAATGAGACCGGTAGTGACGCATCATACAGTCTTTCGACAGGAAACTGTGCGTGCAACGAGGACAGTGGAACCAACCGTGATGATTTGCCGGCTGCCTACCTGCAAGCACGGATTTCATATCAACCTACGCGTATGTCTCGCCACGCGTCAATGATTCTCTCCCGCTTTCTCTCATTCTCTCTCTCTCTCTCTCTCTCTTCTTCCACGCTTACCCCGTATTCCGTTGCGACGTGCAAAGGTACCCAAACGAAGGGAGACGTCGGAACGAAATCGCGTAATATTTGCTCGCTCTCCTGTTTCCGTTGTGTATTAGGGCAAGGACAATGAAAATAGCGAAAACGTAAACGGGACGAGTGATCGAGAAATTTGTTTGAAAATAGAGACGGTAATAAATATACTCGAGAAAACGACGTACATCGAACGTATCTTCTTTTCACCTCTTTTCTTCATTCCCTTTTTTTTTCTTCTTCTTTTTCGTTTTGGTCGTACCG